TTTACTTTATTTGTTTAACTGTATCAGTTTCACTTCTGCTTTCGCTCTCCGCCTTGTTTGGTTCGAACTTGCTCACGCACTGCCTGTACGCCTGTACTCTTTGGCACGTCTCGGTATTATTTCGATACCACGAGATCGCCAATAAATACAATTGATCTGGATTAATAAAGTCTTCTGATTTACGAGCTATCAAAGAAACCAAGTCGTTTTTGGGCGCGTAAACGAATTGTAGTGGTGATCATAGTCCGTCTTCGACTCGACATCCACTACAGATTCATCACCTCATCAACTGATTTACCATTATTCCATAATACCCTATGTCTGACCTCACTAGTGTTCGAGTAAAGAGCCTTCACAAGTTTTGTGTACTCCTGAGGTACACCATTTAATGACAGATACTGCCACAGAACCTCTCTGTCTACAAAGTCAAATACTGCTTTCAAGTCAAGAACAACTATCACTGTCAGACGCCGATAAGCGTGCCTGTGTTCTAAAACCTGACGAATGGTGAATATGTGGTCGATTCAGCCACGACCAGGTCGGAAGTCAGCCCGAATTTTTCGTGACTATAGTTCACGAGTCTTAGTTAGGCGCCTGATAATTATTGAGGCTAGTATTTTCGATGCTATGTTAGTCAAATTAATCCCTCTATGGTTATTACAGGATGATTTGGGCCCCTTCTTATATATTGGGACAATCAATGATTGTGACCAGTCAGATGGGATTACATCCGTCTCCCAGATTTTAGCCAAAATATTAGTCAACATATTCGCTAAAATTGGACTATCATATTTAAAGACATCTGGAGCCAATCCATCTGGACTAGCTGCTCTTCCACGTTTCAGATTACTTATACTCTTCTGGACTTCAGCTAGGGTCGAGGGACCTACTTCAATGATCCATTCATGTTTTCTGGAAATAGTGGGTAGTTGTGCAGTAGCTGAAGGCCAGCTGAACTGCTCCTTAAAGCGTTCCGCCCATTGTTCTAAACGTCTAGATTGAGAGCAGATTAGAGTCTCATCTTTTTCCAAGATTTTTTCGCCTACATTTGACTTCCTAATGCTATTTGCCTGGTGTTGCCTACAGCCGCTGCCTTTTCCATCTCTTTCGCTTTCGTTACCCACCACCGCTCATAGCGGTCCCTTCGATATCTGGTTATGCTAGATATGATTTAACCCCGCCTGTAGCTCTCCTAGAGTTACTGCCTGTCCCAAGCCCACAAAAAGGAGAAGGGTTGGGCATGAGGTTAGCGACACCATCCCATTAAAAAACAACTCCATAAAAAAACGCAAACCAGAAAAAATAATTCAAATCATTTAAACTCTTGCCTGGGAGTTGAAGGAACAACGATGACGCCTCATGATGAAAGCTGATATTTTTTGGAAGTCACGAGGCCGATGCACCTTTTAACAATCTTTATAGGTAGAGGCTGCAAGCAATCATAGCTCAGTGCTCAAGAAAGGAACTCACCATCCAGATGGGAGATCTAAATGCTAAAGTCGGAGTGGACAACACAGGATATGAAGACATCATAGGACGACATGCACTGAGAGAGAGAAATGAAAATGGAGAGAAATTCGCAAATCTATATGTCTTGAACAAATTGGTTATAGGCAGCACTATATTCCCACACAAACGCATACACAAAGTTACATGGATCTAACAGGACCACACCACTGAGAACCAAATAGATCAAATTAGTATCAATAAAAAATTCAGAAGGACAATGGAAAATGTGAGAACCATTAGAGTAGCTGACATAGCTTCAGGTCACCACCTGGTTATGGCGAAGATGAAATTGAAGCTAAAAAAACACTTGACAGATGGGGAAATAGCAGTACAAAGGTTCAATACAGCCTTCCTTCGAGATACTAACAAACTCAACGAATTCAAGGTAACTCTCAACAACAGGTTTCAAGCCTTACAGGATCTGCTGAAAGAAGAAACTACTAAGGACAACAACTGGAAAGGGATTAAAGAAGCATTAACCTCAACATGTCAGGAGGTGCTGGGCGAGGGAATATAATAAACCAGAGAGACCGGCCAAGGACAAAGAAAGAAAGACAATCACCGAAATTCAAAAACAGAGAAACAGATGGGTGGAATACTTCGAGGAACTCTAATATAGATCTGCTCCAATGAATCCACTGGACATCGAAGAAGCACCTACAAATCTTTCCATAGATATCACTCCACTAACGACGAAAGAAATCAGCATGACCATCAGACAAATCAAGAGCTGGAAAGAAACAGGACGTGAAAATACACCAGCTGAAGTCGGACATGAAGGTAACTGAAAATATGCTTCACGTTATATTCAGGAAGATTTGGGAGGAAGAACAAGTGCCAACGGACTGTAATGGACACCTCATCAAGATATTAAAGAAAGGAGACCTGAGCAAATGTGAAAACTACAGAGACATCACACTACTATCAATACCAGGAGAGGTTTTCAACAGTGATGCTGAACCGGATGAAAAACTCAGTAGACAACCAACTTCGAGATTACCAGGCTGGATTCCGCAAGGATCCGTCGTGCACAGACCGAATTGCGACACTACGGATCATCGTGTAACAATCAAGGGAGTGGAACTCGTTACTATGCGTCAACTTCATCGACTATGAGAAGGCATTTGACAGTGTAGAAAGAACATTATGAAGTTCCTGAGAAGATTGTCAGCATTATCAAGAACTCATATGATGGACTACAGTGCAAAGCGGTGCATGGAGGACAACTGACAAATGCCTTCGAAAGGGGAACCCGAGTCACACCAAGGCTGCTTACTCTCGTCTTTTCTCTTCATTTTGGTGATCAACTGGATTATGAAGATCTCGACATCTGAAAGGAAGCACGGAATACAATGGACAGATTGCATGCAAGTAGACGATTTGGACTTTGCAGATGGCCCAGCTCTTCTATCTCATACACATCAACAAACGAAGATGTAGATAACTAGTGTAGCAGCAACCTCTGCATCAGTAGGCGTCAGTATACACAAAGGAGAAAACAAGATCCTGGAATACAACACGAAGAACACCAACCCAAACACACTCGGTGAAGACGCTCTGTAAGATGTGGGATCTTCCACGTACCTGGTCAGCATCATCGGTGAATGTGGTGGATCTGATGCGGACGTAAAGGCGAGGATTGGCAAAGCAAGGGCCGCATTCCCACAATTGAAGAACATATAGAACTCAAAACAAATGTCGCCTAATTTCAAAGTGAGAATCTTCAATACGAACGTCAAGACAGTCCTACTGTACGGAGCTCAAACTTCGAGAAATACTACAACCATCATCAAAAAGGTACAAGCATTTATAAACAGCTGTTCACGCAAAATGCTGAATGCCCATTGATGAATACCATCAACAACAGCCTGCTATGGGAGATGACAAACCAGATTCCAGCAGGAGAGGAAATTAGGAAAAGACGTTGGAAGTGAATAGGACATACATTACGGAAATCACAAAACTACATAACAAGGCAGGCCCTAACTTGGAATCCTGAAGGGAAGTGGAAAGGTGGAAGCCCGAAAAACACTGCGTCGGGAATGATAAGCAGACATGAAAAAGATGAATAGTAACTGGAAAGGATTTCCCAAGACAGAATTGGATGGAGAGTGCTGGTGGAAGGTCTATGCTCCTCCGCGAGGGGAAACAAGCGTAAGTAAAAAGGACTTAAACCGTGTCATCAAGAGACAGCCAACCCTTGAACGCAAAGGTGTACATTTCAGTTACTACACTACAACAAAGATCAGAGGGGACATCAATAAAAACCGGAAAGTGATTTAAATATTTATCGTTCTGAGTATATCAGAAATTTTACTGATACAAAGGGGCACGAGATACATGTACGCCACACAAATCTCCCTTGATTTGTTAGAATAGACCTGTGAGTGACATGGACATCTTACAACTCATAAGGTTATGGACTAGCTTATTTTGTAGTCTAGAACATCGTATCTGACTTCAATATTGCTTATTATGTAGTCGTAGTATATTTAAACTGTTGTGTTTCGATACCAGTAACCAGTGCATATTTAACGTAGAGGCTCATTTCACATAAGAGCAGCACCAATAGAAGGTGGTTACTTCGTTATGATAAATTACGCCTGCTTCAGTGGGTGGCCTGCCTAACTAGTGGGCCGGAAGGACCTCCTTCGCCATTCCGTCATTTGCCCTCAAATGCCCTGGTACAGTCGAGGGTCGGGAGAGTTCGCTTTCCGTCTCGAAACGCTTTTACATGGCCGTGAGTATACAGCCACTGACAGGGAAGACCTACTCACTGCCTTCTCACGACGGGGGTATTGTTTACGAAATTGCGAGGGCGGAAGGTGAATGTTAAGTGCTTTAACCGGGTTGGTGGACATGGAAGGTCTACCTAAGCCAGTTGGAAAACTCTGACTCCAAACCAATAGCGCATATGGGCTCCAGAATCCTGAAGGAAAAAAAGGCGTGTGAACCTATCGTTGGCCACCGGCTACCATGGGACCACATCTCTTGTCGTTGCTTCATTGCCATGTGGATTAGACCATCAGGTCAAAATCTCAGGGTGTGGTACCCTAAAGAAATGCATGAACGTATATACCAGTTAATGCAATATAACAAACACAGAACAAGTTTGCCAGCTACGAAAAATACTTCGGTTCCTCATATCCATAAGCGAAACAGACAAACCTTAATTAATAAGATTTAAATATAATATACTACAGAGGTAGCGTTATCGTGTTTTTTAGTTGCAAAATTAGTTTCAAGTGTAAAGAAAAAGTCTTCTTGACAAGACAATTTTTCATATTAAAAAGTTATATTGACCAAATAAATTCAATTACATTGAACTCATAATGATGTGTCAATTTGGGTACTAAGAAAATAGATTGAAAATTGACACAAATATTTTAAAGAAAATTTGGGAACATTAACCATCTGCATATCCTTGTTGTCCGGATTTTATAAATGAAATAAAGACCAATAGAGAAGTTAAACCACGAAGAATAGCGAAGTTACAACAACCCACGTTTTAGACGACTGATAAGATGAACCATTTTCAAAGCAGGACCCAATTTAATCTTCATATAATTACGCAGTGATTCCATGCTAAGAAGAAGAAGTGCTTGTCCATCTATTTCCTGTAACACAAGAGTTATGATACATCTACTTACTATTTTATTTTTCAAAAAATCGTACATACAATACAACATCAAATTTATAAATGCATTGACCACATAGTATATTTATAGAAAGATACAAACTTTACAAAACAAAAAAAGTACGAATACTTAATGTATAACTAAAGAGAACCATTATAGGTGTTCGTGTAACGGCTCAAGAGCTAATGATGTACCTTCACTAGACAAGCTAAGCCTGAGTGTTTTGACCGATTTTAGCTAATTCTATTTAGAAAGGCGAATAATGCCGCCAATGCTCACTACATTTATATATATATATATATATATATATATATATATATATATATATATGCTAATGCTTACTACATATAAATCGACATATGGTAGCACGTTATACATACATCATAATGTAATGGGGTATGGTAACTTAAACCGATACACTTGTATGCCATGTCCTACTTTGCGTATAACTGAATGACTGGTATTACAACTACTGAAATCAGATAAAGTGAAATACTAAGAGACCAACCAGATATTCCAATATTAATACATCATTTTTCACAAGCTTATTTAAAATACAGCTCAATAATAGTATGAAAATAGGCTAGTGAAGATATTGGTACCATACTGGAAACCAACAATGACAATAGATAAATGACGAACCTTTAGTACTGTTTTAAAATTAAGTGTTCACAGATTCACAGCTGGTGACAAACTAGTACCTTGTGAACCACTTACCTTTTACAATTCGGTACCTGATTCCTTGAATTACGGGAAACCATGAGCGGTAGTCTATTTGGATGAGACAATAGAGACCACATAGACAGGCTAAAGATTTAGTCGTCAGAAACATTTGCTTGATCAACTACAATGTGAAAAATTCGTCACTACGGTTTTAAGAGGTAAACATAGCGTATAACCGGCGGATAAAGCTAATATGGATTGTCATAATTAGAGGCCTATTGAAAAGTTATTATTCTCTTTGTAATAAATACAAACATAGGTAGTAACTGATGGTTGTTCAATTAATTATAAGATTAAAAATCTTGAAGACTGCACGACTAACTGATGCGATGTGTACATCACAATAAGAAGAGGTAGTTTTACTATCGATGGTATCGATGTTACAATACAGGGTTGATTACGAACTCTATTCAAGTTTTTAGCCCAGCAGTGATATGACAAAATGTAACTTGCCAGGTACCAAAAGTTTTTATCCAGAATTAAAACATCCTAGATTAGCACATTGCATGTTCCAGTCTCACTTTGATACCTGACCTACTTCGTGGGACTTCTGGATTCCTGTACCATAACGTAAAACCTGAGAACTAGTAATTATTTGTAAAATAATTTGTAAAAGAATAACCCACTTTAGTTTGAGCTATGGAAATAAGTAGGAGAAAACGGACAGCATTAGCGATGACAAAAAAACATACATGATGTTTGAATTTTTCCGCTGCTTCAAGAAGAGTAGCATCACGAGCCGTAATGTAGTTGTAAACTTCTTCAATGGTCCATTGAGTAGGATTAGGAAAAGGAAACGATCCTAAATCTGAAATTTTATATACAAACAGTTAAAACTGATGAGTGAAATGTCTCTTGTTAGTCGTCTGATACATAATTTTGATAAGTGAATTATGGCCAGCAACTTCAAACTATCGTTTGTATGCGAGTTGTTTTTCTTTGTCTAATATTTTTCGACCAATATCCTTCACTTGACTTGAAGTGACTGACAGTTGGATGCAGAAGAATAAACAAATAGGCTTTATCGAAGTTAAACGTAGAGTACTCATTATGATATTGGATGTTATCGTGAAATTTCACCAGCTAAGATATCTGAGACATGAATTGAGAAATACAGCCTTTCCATAATTCGATCCATAACATAGTAAAATATTTACATAAATAATAGAATTAAAATCTTAAAAAATACGTCTTATTTAATTACTTGCTACTTCTGATATGAATAATAAAAGCTGTGGCGTTGATATATGCCTGTAAGATAGATCAAAAGCATCTTAAAGTAATTGATCCAGAATTTAATACACTAAGCAACAAATCATCTAAAGTAAGTCCCTATAATTTCATCTTCAGAGATATTTGTAGCTCTAATTATAGAGGTGTTTTGTATACACCAATAAATAACAATTAGTGACTACGCAAACTAGTGTAATGTACAGAACTATGCCTTTAAATTTTTAAATATTAGGATTGAATTCTAGTCATCAATGTGTGCACTTAAAAAATGACAACTTCTAGACGTTTCTAACCTTATCCCTCCATTTAGTCAGTGTCGGATGTCATATCGATCGTGTCTAATAAAAGCTACCACAACCAAAGGAAGTTTATACGGAGATAGGTTACTTTCAGCACAACTGAGCTTCAAACTATTGGCCTAACTCGGTCAGTGGAAGTGTTAAGATGATCAGAATTATCAAACATATAAGATAAGAGGATTATCATCTATAAGACGTACTGTAGATTGTGAAATGTACGATACAGAGAAATCCTAATTTTTATAACATTTTCCTCATAGATTAAATTAGTTAATGATAAAAAATTGATGTTTTACTCATGATTTTTAACTCAAAAAGGGTTATATTCATAATCCGTTGGGGAAAGTAAAGTATATACAAGGGAAAAATATGTCCGGCCACTTGGGTTTATTTTACAACAAAGAATGAGTAAAGATAAGTTTAGTTATCATATCCAATCATGAAAAAAAACATGATTATTTGAACATCTCAACCTTGGAAGTTCACAAAATCGAATACATTGCTGGATATAAATGAAATTATTTCCTAGATTAATTTTTTATAGCTGAACAACTTCAATAGGCAAAATGGCTTATCTTGACAGAACACTGTGGAGATCATTTCATAGGAGCTACTATCAGGGAATATAAGCGAAACTGATCAAAAACAAACTAATGGGAAATTAACTCGAGAAAAACAATAGTTGCGTTGCTAAACAACTTTATTAATTTATCCATTGGGCCAATATCATGTTATGATATCAGAAAAACAAAGTGTGATTTAAATGGAACAATAAATTATCTGGGGAGACTAGCCGATTGCTGGACCAATGCATAGAATGATATTTTAATGAGCACGCAACGGAAATCTAGAGTCCTATTATTTCTAAGGCTTAACAACGTGGTGATAGAATTGACAGTCAAAACTTTTACTGAATTTACTCAGAAAGTAAATGATTTCACAAACGTGATGCCTGAAGCCTCGTGAAAGCGTCAGTTGAAATTATGGAAAGCTATTCAAAAACCAAAATTAAGGAGCAGATTTAGAAATTAGTTCTCAGACTAGATGCTCAAACGGATTAAAGTAATGGACTTTGTAATAAATGGATGAGAGCGTTTGACGTGGTATTTGACTTAAAGATATTTTTGTAGTAGCACAGGGAACAGGAGTGACCTTTTGAAATTTTTTGTATTAAAAGTGATTAGATAAGCTTAGAGTTCACCTGAGAATGAACATTACTGATCATAAATGTTCAAAAGCGGCAACATTCTTCAGTCATGTTGAAAATAAAATTATATTGGATGCTTCATGAACATCAATGAGCGATGAAGGGTATGTTGGAGAAAGACAATTGAGAAGTTACTATAATAGTACAAAAGCAAAACTCTAAATCGCTCCTATTCTCCCATTGAGAACGATAGATATGAAAACTGCAGACCTTGTGGTAAATATAGAGTTTAAATAAGTTGAAACCGTATTTGTAAGTTTTATAGCATGGAAAAAAATCACCAGATGTGGGCACAAACTTACCCAGTGATGAAGGAGACACAGTTGACGAAGGAAGGTGTGTAGTTAGACTCTGACTATCTAAACTATCAACATTTTGATGAGCGTACACAGGATAAGTAGATTTATTAGAATTCGATTCTAACTTTCCAGAAAACCACAAATGTGAATCGGATGTTTCAACCGATAAATTATCATGAGTAGGGGAATTCATTTCATCAAAGTAACAGCCATTCGTATGCATGATATCATGGGAGATATGTGATTGAAAGACTAAGCTTGACCCCATGGTTGAACCATTAGTTCGATCGTTCTCCGATTTAAATAAACTTTTTCTATCTGCCATGAAGACAGGAGTACACGTTAATGCAGAATCATTTTTGCAGAAAGCGGTAGAATTGGCAGTTTCATTTTTGTACAAATTGGGACTGTCTTCTGGATAAGCGATTGACTTTTCATAGTTTTGACTCATATCGGAAAAGCCTTTCAGTTGAGGAGAAACTGAATCAACATACTCATAGTTGCATAGTACCGAATTGGTTAAACTGTCACTATAAGGTGAGAAAATTAACAATAGGATGTGAAGTCTAGATTCAATGGTTGGGTGCCATTAACATACCGTTACACTTCCCTTAAACAAAAAGTAAATTGGCTGGTTCAAATTAATATACTTAGCAAAAACATAGGACGAGAAAATTAAAAAATAAAGTAAGATCACGAAATAAACTTGTCTACTAATAAAAATGGAACAGTCTGAGTATGCAATAAGTTATTTCGATGTTATCCATTAACAGAGCAGAAGTAAATGCACTAGAATAAACGTGTGACGTATACTCACAATAAATAATGCATGGCTATCTATTTCCTGTAACACAAGAGTTATGATACATCTACTTACTATTTTATTTTTCAAAAAATCGTACATACAATACAACATCAAATTTATAAATGCATTGACCACATAGTATATTTATAGAAAGATACAAACTTTACAAAACAAAAAAAGTACGAATACTTAATGTATAACTAAAGAGAACCATTATAGGTGTTCGTGTAACGGCTCAAGAGCTAATGATGTACCTTCACTAGACAAGCTAAGCCTGAGTGTTTTGACCGATTTTAGCTAATTCTATTTAGAAAGGCGAATAATGCCGCCAATGCTCACTACATTTATATATATATACATATATATATATATATATATATATATATATATATATATATATATATATATATATATATATGCTAATGCTTACTACATATAAATCGACATATGGTAGCACGTTATACATACATCATAATGTAATGGGGTATGGTAACTTAAACCGATACACTTGTATGCCATGTCCTACTTTGCGTATAACTGAATGACTGGTATTACAACTACTGAAATCAGATAAAGTGAAATACTAAGAGACCAACCAGATATTCCAATATTAATACATCATTTTTCACAAGCTTATTTAAAATACAGCTCAACAATAGTATGAAAATAGGCTAGTGAAGATATTGACACCATACTGGAAATCAACAACAATAGACCTTCATAGTCGGAATCGAAGGTGAGGTAGTAGTACCTCGTTACAAAAAAGGCAAGTGAGTCAATCACAGACTTATAACTATTCACGGCTTATAAGAACATATAATTTACAGGGCTATCAGGTATTACTTAGTTACGTACGTTAAATGCTGTTGAGTATCTACTGATAAATTCTGTGTGATTGAACATGTTTGAAGCTTACTTGGCTATTTTGAATTTCTGTTTTATTTCGGGACATTTCTTCTTTGAATTTCCACTGCGACGTTTCAGTTTGTGCTGTTTGTTTTTTTGCTTTGTTTTCGTTACTACTTTCCATGATTTCAGTTCTGGCTCATATGGATGTAACACGTTGGACACTGGCATTAGTGACGATTTCGCCTGAAGACGCACAACGCAATCGGAAGGGCTACTGAAACGTCGATGACGCCCGTCCGCAGAATCTCTCACAAATTCAGAGGCTTCGATCCGTGGAGGATGTTCAGGGGGAGATGAGGAGTAAAACGTGTTTAAAGAATCACTTGCATCTTCTAAGACAGGAGGGACGATGGCTGGTGATGTCAAGGACTGAATGGAAGAATCAACCTGTGAAGTATTCAAGGAATTGGGTTCCACAAACAAATCAACACGTTCATTTTTATTGACATCCATATGTTCGGAAGCAACGCTATTATGATTTGGCTTTGATAAGGCTGGAGAAAATGAACTCATACTTAGAGGTTGTTTTGTTGACAGCTCACGAGGATTCCTAAAATGTGTTGAGCTTTCTGTTTCGTTACGCAAATTACTCCTAACTAAATTTGCATGCGATTTAATTCTTCTTGAAAGTCCTAACTTTTTACGAGGACATGAAGACGTTTTGTCTGTCTTTGAGATACGACTGCAACTGTTGGTAAGTACTTTAGATAGATATTTTGGTGAGACGCTGGGAGCTTGGGAAACAGAATTATGAGCATACAAGATACTAGGGGTTGAATGAATAATTGGAGAGCGTATAACATTTGGTCCAGGTGGCTGAAGTGGGTAGTTGGCTGACTTACACCAACCGACAGGAAATAGTTCACGACTATCGAAACGAGCCCAGTAGTCAAAAGCTCCTGACCATCCATCAAAATTTATCAAAATATGGTGGCCGTTCACTGCGCCCACAGATGCAGGACATATCAGTTGAGTGTTTCTACGATCTACTGCCTCTAACTTGTCATTCACTTGGAAGTAATTATCCTCTGGATCTGGTGGTTGCTGTAATATAAAAAATACGGTATTACTAATTGGAAACACTGCGAAAACGGAGTACGAACTATAAGACAGATTACGACTTACTGAAATGAACCACGAAGGATCCGCAAAACGCGTTCCTTCAGTTGCTTTCTTAAGAGTACGATTCCACACAAGATGATTATGCATATAGCCAAAGGGCGGTTGTAGTGAACTTCCAGAAGGATAAGGTCTGATTTGGTCGGAGTCAACTAAGAACCAATAATCATTACGATCGTCAGTTCCAACCAGACGTATTCTCAAACGTGGACCACACGTTTCTATCACTCGCGCTAAACTGAATGAAGCTGCTCTGAAGCGTCGGACAGTTCCACTGGAGTGAGGATTCAGACTCGACCTTCTACATGGGGTCTCCAACAACTGTTGATTACTACTAGTAGAATTATTAGCATAACGTGCTTTTATTAAATCGTTTGAATATGGATTGAGAACAAGAGCTGCACTACGTTGGTCTTCCGCTTCTAGAATGGTATTCACCTCGAAATAGTTTGGCGGAGGAACCAGAGACTGAAACAAAAACAAGAAATCGATATTTTGATACAGTAAGAAACGTATGACTGAGCAGTTATAAGTGGAATTAAGATGAACTAAGTGATTTTATAGAGTTGAATAATGTTAAAAACGACATCAACGTGGACCGACTGAATGCGATTAGTTTCGCCAGAAAAAACTGTTCAGACAAGTGGTAACTCAAAATAGTTGTCATCTATTTTTGATGAAACTTGGTTACACTTGATAATATACCACTTACTATCCAAATACAAAACATCCCACTTCAGTTAAATCTAGTACTTTTAAACGCGTGGAAAACAAAAATACTGGAAACTTGAAAAACCGAACAAGCAACATAGAACCTGTCACTTAACTGGATGAGCTCTCTTTCTCACATTTCAAAACAGTGTACCAGAGTCAGTCAGTTACAACGTAAAACTTCGTACGTACGTACGTACATCAGTTCGAGTTGCCATACCACATTAGCACAGAGATGCAGTTGTCGATTCAAATCCCATAGTGGTAGAAGTAGTAGGCGTATAATCAGAAATCCAAAAGATTAGGGTTTGAAGAAATTATTGAAGGAGTATAGTATAGTGAAATAAATTTGGAAAGAGAAAAAGGATAGAGACATGAAGAATTCAGAAGATTAGAATTTGGTAGAACACAGAGTGGATTCACCTTCGCCATTCCAAACGATTTTGAGCCATCTCATTCAAGGTCTCTAACCATCGGTTGCTATCATCTCGCGAATCCCAACCAGGTAGTCTACACCTACCAACATGGCCCAGTCCACTTGTCAGTGACTTCATGGATTTATGCCATGTTTTGGTCTGGCCACCCCTAGCTTTCTTCCAACCTGCTCCTACACCATAAAGCATTGCACGTCGGTGGTTGGGCATACGTAACACATGTCCCAGCCATCTCAACTAGTGAAGTTTCACTACTTCATCAATTGATTTGCCATCCTTACCTAGTACCCGTTTCCTAACATCTGCATTACTTACCCGGTGGTCCCAGGATATACGAGCAATGCTTCGAAGACACCTATGATCGAACACTAGTAGCCTACGAATATCCTCTACTCTTACCGGCCATGTTTCACTTCCATAAAGAAGGACGGAACGGACTGCTGCACAGTAAACCCGTCCTTTAGTTGCTAGACGGATATCTCGCCTACGCCATAAATGACGCAAGTTGGCAAAAGCTAGACGAGCCTTCTGTATGCGTGCTGAGATTTCGTCACACACCAGACCACAAGGGCTGATGAGACTCCCAAGACAAGTGAAGCTGTCAACACGTTCAACTACTTGGGAGAGTAGGCAGAGATGACGAAGAGACAACGACGAGTTTCCCTATCTTTCCAAGTCCTTACTGATCCGTTTAGTCGGACAGCGCATAGACGACTGTCTACTGGGATCCAGTCTAAAAGAGCTAGTTTTGCCCTAGGACTTAATGCTATACCTACTCCAGCGAGGCCACGGGAAGCAGCATCAGGGCTTCCAGATACACGAAGCGTGTATCGAGATGGTTCTTTATTTTGATTAGGTGCGGTCAAATGAATGACGCTACTCGGATCTTGTATGCGTGTTTCGGAGACGCAGCACACATCGATGGTGTAAAATTCTAAAGCCCTAGCTAAGGAAGCCTGTTGTCTTATTTGGCACAATGTTCGGACATTAAAAGTTCCTACATGTAGTTTAGAGCGTGGTTTCAGGAGACCAGGAATAAAGTTCCATGTACTCGAATCGTTTGCCGTAGCGGTGCGAGGTGATAAAAGGACGTGGGAAGGGTTAGTCGTGGAGATAACAGAGTTATTAGGTGTAGGAAGGATTTGAAAGCGACCAACTTGGTCTCGTGTGCAGTTAAGGGTATGAGGGCATTTATCACTTCCCGGCTGCCCACACCGTGGAAGGGTATTTCTTGAGGGACCTGAAAAAGAAGTTGGATTAGTGTTGGTCTGAACGACCTGGGAGCGTGACCGAAGTGCCCAAGGGACAACTGCTTGAGGCCGGTCACGCACGACCTTTTTGTGGGGGATTTTTGAAGTGTTAGCTCCGTTCTTCAAAGGACCTTACCGCCGGAGACGGAAATCCATGGGATAAGGCGAAGTGTGCATTTTTAGGGTCGACCTTTTCTAACCCCACCCCTCCTTGTGGGAAGGCAGTATCGCTGTCATGCTGGTTGTCTGAAGGAAACACCTTACTGCCGTCACACCTCTGTACGGTCGGCAGTACGACTTCGCCTTCGGACCTTGGGATTGCTGCTTTGTCTTACCGCTCTTCAATCGACCTGTCTGGCATGATAGGACCTCGAGGAACGATTGTTCCAGCCAGCATAGCTCGATTGCTTCATCACGATAGGCAAGCCCGACCACCACGTCAAGGTAGCAGCAACGGTCGAGCAATGTACCAGAGGGAGAGCTACGGTAAAAATAACGTGCATAAGTTGTGCGGACCACGAAACAAAACGAATTAATACAAATTAGTAATAGGCAGCACTATATTCCCACACAAACGCATACACAAAGTTACATGGATCTAACAGGACCACACCACTGAGAACCAAATAGATCAAATTAGTATCAATAAAAAATTCAGAAGGACAATGGAAAATGTGAGAACCATTAGAGTAGCTGACATAGCTTCAGGTCACCACCTGGTTATGGCGAAGATGAAATTGAAGCTAAAAAAACACTTGACAGATGGGGAAATAGCAGTACAAAGGTTCAATACAGCCTTCCTTCGAGATACTAACAAACTCAACGAATTCAAGGTAACTCTCAACAACAGGTTTCAAGCCTTACAGGATCTGCTGAAAGAAGAAACTACTAAGGACAACAACTGGAAAGGGATTAAAGAAGCATTAACCTCAACATGTCAGGAGGTGCTGGGCGAGGGAATATAATAAACCAGAGAGACCGGCCAAGGACAAAGAAAGAAAGACAATCACCGAAATTCAAAAACAGAGAAACAGATGGGTGGAATACTTCGAGGAACTCTAATATAGATCTGCTCCAATGAATCCACTGGACATCGAAGAAGCACCTACAAATCTTTCCATAGATATCACTCCACTAACGACGAAAGAAATCAGCATGACCATCAGACAAATCAAGAGCTGGAAAGAAACAGGACGTGAAAATACACCAGCTGAAGTCGGACATGAAGGTAACTGAAAATATGCTTCACGTTATATTCAGGAAGATTTGGGAGGAAGAACAAGTGCCAACGGACTGTAATGGACACCTCATCAAGATATTAAAGAAAGGAGACCTGAGCAAATGTGAAAACTACAGAGACATCACACTACTATCAATACCAGGAGAGGTTTTCAACAGTGATGCTGAACCGGATGAAAAACTCAGTAGACAACCAACTTCGAGATTACCAGGCTGGATTCCGCAAGGATCCGTCGTGCACAGACCGAATTGCGACACTACGGATCATCGTGTAACAATCAAGGGAGTGGAACTCGTTACTATGCGTCAACTTCATCGACTATGAGAAGGCATTTGACAGTGTAGAAAGAACATTATGAAGTTCCTGAGAAGATTGTCAGCATTATCAAGAACTCATATGATGGACTACAGTGCAAAGCGGTGCATGGAGGACAACTGACAAATGCCTTCGAAAGGGGAACCCGAGTCACACCAAGGCTGCTTACTCTCGTCTTTTCTCTTCATTTTGGTGATCAACTGGATTATGAAGATCTCGACATCTGAAAGGAAGCACGGAATACAATGGACAGATTGCATGCAAGTAGACGATTTGGACTTTGCAGATGGCCCAGCTCTTCTATCTCATACACATCAACAAACGAAGATGTAGATAACTAGTGTAGCAGCAACCTCTGCATCAGTAGGCGTCAGTATACACAAAGGAGAAAACAAGATCCTGGAATACAACACGAAGAACACCAACCCAAACACACTCGGTGAAGACGCTCTGTAAGATGTGGGATCTTCCACGTACCTGGTCAGCATCATCGGTGAATGTGGTGGATCTGATGCGGACGTAAAGGCGAGGATTGGCAAAGCAAGGGCCGCATTCCCACAATTGAAGAACATATAGAACTCAAAACAAATGTCGCCTAATTTCAAAGTGAGAATCTTCAATACGAACGTCAAGACAGTCCTACTGTACGGAGCTCAAACTTCGAGAAATACTACAACCATCATCAAAAAGGTACAAGCATTTATAAACAGCTGTTCACGCAAAATGCTGAATGCCCATTGATGAATACCATCAACAACAGCCTGCTATGGGAGATGACAAACCAGATTCCAGCAGGAGAGGAAATTAGGAAAAGACGTTGGAAGTGAATAGGACATACATTACGGAAATCACAAAACTACATAACAAGGCAGGCCCTAACTTGGAATCCTGAAGGGAAGTGGAAAGGTGGAAGCCCGAAAAACACTGCGTCGGGAATGATAAGCAGACATGAAAAAGATGAATAGTAACTGGAAAGGATTTCCCAAGACAGAATTGGATGGAGAGTGCTGGTGGAAGGTCTATGCTCCTCCGCGAGGGGAAACAAGCGTAAGTAAAAAGGACTTAAACCGTGTCATCAAGAGACAGCCAACCCTTGAACGCAAAGGTGTACATTTCAGTTACTACACTACAACAAAGATCAGAGGGGACATCAATAAAAACCGGAAAGTGATTTAAATATTTATCGTTCTGAGTATATCAGAAATTTTACTGATACAAAGGGGCACGAGATACATGTACGCCACACAAATCTCCCTTGATTTGTTAGAATAGACCTGTGAGTGACATGGACATCTTACAACTCATAAGGTTATGGACTAGCTTATTTTGTAGTCTAGAACATCGTATCTGACTTCAATATTGCTTATTATGTAGTCGTAGTATATTTAAACTGTTGTGTTTCGATACCAGTAACCAGTGCATATTTAACGTAGAGGCTCATTTCACATAAGAGCAGCACCAATAGAAGGTGGTTACTTCGTTATGATAAATTACGCCTGCTTCAGTGGGTGGCCTGCCTAACTAGTGGGCCGGAAGGACCTCCTTCGCCATTCCGTCATTTGCCCTCAAATGCCCTGGTACAGTCGAGGGTCGGGAGAGTTCGCTTTCCGTCTCGAAACGCTTTTACATGGCCGTGAGTATACAGCCACTGACAGGGAAGACCTACTCACTGCCTTCTCACGACGGGGGTATTGTTTACGAAATTGCGAGGGCGGAAGGTGAATGTTAAGTGCTTTAACCGGGTTGGTGGACATGGAAGGTCTACCTAAACCAGTTGGAAAACTCTGACTCCAAACCAATAGCGCATATGGGCTCCAGAATCCTGAAGGAAAAAAAGGCGTGTGAACCTATCGTTGGCCACCGGCTACCATGGGACTGCATCTCTTGTCGTTGCTTCATTGCCATGTGGATTAGACCATCAGGTCAAAATCTCGGGGTGTGGTACCCTAAGAAAATCACCTGCTTCAGTTTGGGCTCCTAGGTAGTATCATAGCCCTTACACAAATTAATGATAACACCTACTGGCCTTTTTGTTATTGTGTGGCACATCTTTATTTGATGCCCCTTTGTATCAATGTGTTCAAATAAGATAATAAATAAATAAATAGCAATTCGAGCAGTCTACTAGACCTTCATGAGGCAGTTGGATATTCTATTACAGGTGATAATGGTATGTGTTAAGAGAGCTAAGGATATATTTGGACAAGAGAATGGATCAAAATCCATCAAGTTTCGTGTTCAACTAATTCACCTACTATCCTTGACGTATCATCTTATGTCTAATGTGGAACACTTAACATTTATAGGCCAAAATAAAACATGAATACCACTTCTGAACGCCTCAAATCTGCTTCAAATAGCTTCATAACGAGCCCTGTGCATTAAGGACATTTTGAAGTTAGCAGCACTACATACATTAAACCCAATACCTTACGTTTGCTTCTTAGCATCAGATGTCTTTTTTGTCGATTTACTAACGTGTGATAAGTGTAAACATTGAATTATTTAGTGATTTACGTTAGTCTGCGTCCCATAAGTTAGATCAGGAGGAAATATTTCGTCCAAAGAATCTGAAAATTAGTGCATCTTGCAGTATACTGACGTATCTTATAAGGTATTCAATAAAAGCGTTTAGGAACTATGAACAGCTCTACGAATATTTTATTAACACACTGACAAGGTTACGAATACTCTAGTTTCGTTGATAAACTTTTCAAAACTCAAATATGCCGTCTCAGATAATAGCATCTGGGTGTTTTGATTTTTAACTGAGAGGGTTGTATTATGTTGCACCCCTTATAGCAAGTACTAATGGTAACTAACAAGATGTGGGACTTCGTGTCTACTTCAAGTGTATCGACACTAACTGGTAGCTGCTGAAAGAAACATGGATATGAACGAGATATCTCCTAGATATCTACGAAATTACGATGTTGGAAAACCTACAATGCCTTTGTCTTACTGTCTACGTAATGAATGAACCACTGGGGTACGGCCACAAAAGTTTTCATTACGATGGACTACTTGTTGATAATGGGACCAGAATAAGTAGTCAAAAATAGGTGCAACATTCGATGACAATAGATACTCAAGGACAATAATTTTCACAAAGTTTTCCGACAAGGAAAATTCTGAGCCTTTATGTAGTTAAGCGAATTTAAGCCAGTACAAACTCAATCGTGGATATCCAGTTATTTTACCGTGAGTGGTGTTATGGAAACTTTTTGAATTATACCTTAAAGCCATGGACAGATTCTTTTCTTACTGTCTTTTTATCTCGGAATATCAAAAGGCTTTATACTTATGTGCCGACTTTCACTTTGCTAGACATTAAAATCTTCGACTTTGGTAGGTTACAGCAATCAGTTGCTAATAACTTTAAATCTGGCACAAAAATACATCGTGGCATACTTCATATCAGCAGAGAGATTTATAAGGCAGGGAATGAAACTACTACCGATAGAGCTAGAAAATATATTACCCAGGATACTGGCGGAATCACAGAACGAAAAATATGGGGTTATACGAAAACTGGGACTTAGATGTAACTGTGACTGGTTAGATATCACTTAAATTCATTAGTCACAGGTTAGGATTAACTGATTCTTGATCAGTGAGACCCTATTTCTCATAAATCTACGACCGCCAATGGAATAATGTATTGTTGCCATGTCATGAAGGGAACTATACTAATTTTTACCGTAAGATAAACTATTCATCTTAAGTCAGAATTATATCCTGCAAAATACTACACTACTAACCTGTTTAAAGCACTCCAATTTCGCCGGGCGACCGTTTGTTTTCTTAAGATAGTCGTCCCACGTAAAACTATTAGAACTATCAGCTGAAACATGGCAACCCATAACACACGGAAATAACAAAGAGCAACTTCAGTAATCTGATACAACAATATGGCAATGTTAAGTTTCCGTCTGGCTTTTAGCGTCTGCTACAAATACCCAGGATTGATTACGTTTAAAGTTAAGATTATTCTGCTTATTAGAAACCTGGAAAAGAAAACGGATTTGTGAATTAACTCAGTGTAGTCTACAAAAACAAATGATGAGTCACATTCTCGACATTGGCTTCATTATGAACGCTACTACACTTATTTATTCATATATATTTTATCGTGGTATTGTGGCATGGTAACACGCGATAACGAACATTTGTGCCAGACCTTACGTTGATGATGACCAACAAAACTTTAAAATACACGTAGAACTGACCATCATATGAACCCTATCTGGCCGAATGTTCATATTCCAGGTAGGAGACTCATGTACGAAGAATTACTATAGCAATATGAGAAGAGTCGAACGAAAGGAGAACCAACTTTCTGTAAAACAGATAGCCGGGGGCACGTACCCTTATGATATCAGGTAGGAACATTCAATGGAGCATGGATCTTAATCATAAATTTCTAATAGACACTAAGCACGGAATACGAACAAGAAGTTACTATTAGTCCCTTAAATCTTAAACACTTTATGCTGCAGCTAAAGTGAAAGGGCTTCCTGTCTTAGGGAATTAATTTATAACGCTACGAAGAGGATTCGGAAAAGCGACTTTTGAAGAACAACATTAATCACTTACATTTGACCTAACTACGAAGCCTGTTCTAAATTAGACAGCATAATGCCCTGGAGCAACACTGTCTTAGCTATGACAGGAAGAGAATCACATGGTTCGTTAGAATAATGGTTTGACCAGTAGTTTCTTATGATTACCACATTATTCAAAAGTTGTGGACTAGCCCATACAGCGTATATACTATGATAGGATGCCAAATTGAGAAGTTAACACACCTATGGTGTACGTTTTAGAGATTTAAATAATTTGGTAGAATACTGGCTAGTGAAGTTATAAATCTCATCAGCAGCTGGAAGCAACAGTTCTTTCGGAGTTGCGCAACCCGAAGAGAATAGAATAAGATAACCGAGGAAAAGCGAATAGCTGGTTATATCAATCACAAGTACTCCCACTTAAGAACAAGTAAAGCCTAACATTCATTAACAACAAGGTTAGATTTCAAACTTGGCTCTTACATTGTTCTTGAATTGCTGCGAATAAAGCTAAAACAGTTTCAAAAAATTGTCCAATATTTCAGATTTATGTGGGACTCTCTCCTTTAGAAAGCTACAAATAATCAAAGCTTGTGCTACAGGGTAAATATGTTTTTTTTCTCGTTGTTTTTTCATTTTCGTGAAAATCACTAATTTCAGACTTTGCGAACGAGATATTATGAATTCATAACATCCCCAAGTTTCAAATCCCGTTTCTTTTTGAAAAGGAAAGAAGGGTAGGTGATATGTGTTAGCTTTTCTATTGCGGGAATCAGTTTGTATGTGGAAGATCGAATCTTTTTCAACAGTTGTCAGTATCTTTATAGGCAGGGGATAACTGCCTGTATGTAGTATTGGAGGTTAGTACGAACGAATACTGTATACGAAGTCAGAAGTGTTTTGGCATCGACATAACTTTAGGTCCCACGTTATGACCATAGGGTTCTAAAACATTTTACAGCTATCGCACGGCAGTGTGCGGTAGTTTTTAAGCCCTGGCTAACGATGACTCCTTAACCAGTGCACGTCCGAACAACAGGTAGCTCAGTGTTATTCACTGTGTATGCATTTGTACCTTGTTGACTAATATGCATCACAATTCATTTGAAGGCACTTATTGAGAAATGCCAAATTCTATGTCACTTAGATAATATCTCCAGGTCGTTTTGAAACTCCAGACCATCACCTTTACTTTTTTATCGCTCTCCATATCTTCACATCATCAGTATATAACGAAACCAGTGACGATAGGAGACTAGGAAGGTCATATGAATGCGAGATAAAAAAATACTGTATCCAACACTTTACCCTGGGATGCCTTGCTAACTACAGTTTCCCAGCAAGACAAATTTGAGTTCACCCGTATTCTTTGTTGACGTCCACCGAGGCAGTCCTTTATCCGAATAAATTAGTTGACTACAACTCTTATATCAGTTAACTTTGATCACAGCTGGTTGTGAGGGACCTTGTTAAAACATTCACTGCGAAGAAGCTTGTTATAGAAGTGGAATCACAAGCTTTAAGAGTGTTCTTTTTAAAGCATTGGAGGGTCTTGTGGACTTGAAGAGATCTGGATCCCAGATATATTTCGTTAATACGAAAGCTGTTGAGATTAGATAAAGAGAGATTGGAAGTTAATAATAGTTTGTTATTCTTACTCTGTCATTCAGTTACAATAATCGCGTGTTTTATTACTATGTAGTGTAGCTGTAAATAATTCCCCAAAATCAATAGCTTTCTAAGCGTTCGACATTGGATGCTGACCACGTTGTTTAAGTGGACTTGTTTAACTGAAGGCTTTTGGTCATGCATCCGTACCAGATCACGTTGCAACACGGCGTGGGACACAGCTCCTACGTTCATTAGCCAGCTTATAGTAAAGGTTCCTCGATATATTGGTAACGTATCAAATATATCTTTCCTACCTCTCCTCGTCTGACTTCTGGTTTCTATTCGACTGGGAAAGAACGAGTATAGAAGATACTACTGATTGCTAGTTGCCAAACTAGAATATCCGTTGTATCCTCAGTAGTATGCACCTCCCAACAGTACTAAGTTCAACCCACAACAAATTTTTGAACTGCTGATAATTCTTGTTTCGGTGCTTTCGCTTCCTTACAACTTACTCGCACAGTAGCAAGTGTCGGATGTCGAGGTAGAAAGTGGTCACGTTTAAAGGGTGATGACGTGATCCTTGTTCGGTTTCTTTCAGAGTAAGTCGTTTGGCTATTATTTCGTTGAAATTTTTCAGATGGATGTGTTACACTGTGTAGACATGGAATCAAATAGTTATTCGACCTTCTGTCCACAAACTTTGATTTTGGAATGTGTTTCGCTAGCTAATGTTGTTGTTCAGTAATTGCACAATACATTGTCGTTGCATTCAGACACATTTTGATTCTCTAGAGATAAAATCTACTGAGGTTGTAGTTGTCTTCATTCGTTTTTAGTTTCCGTGAAGACTGGGCAGAAAATCAAGCACTTAAGGAAGTACTCAGCGAGTATTAGATCTGACATTAGGCGCATGTGATAAATTTCTCAGACATTTTTCGGTGAGGATTGACAATCTCGTCAGCTGATATGCCATCTTTACTCGACTTTGTGTGAGCATAGATTTAGTCTATTGACTTCGAAATATGGTGTGATACATCGAACGATGCAAAAATGATTAGCAGAGTGACGGATAACGTAGTAAATGTCATTTTCTATGACGAGCAACATAGTTTAGGGGCATATAGCGATCTCCTTAAGTGTGGATTATCCACCTTGTCAGTTAAAAGGCTTCCTAAAGAAAAGCAGCAAAAAACTGGTCCACAACAGTCCTACAAATTATGATAGTTTGAATAATTGAGGTCTCCAAATATACATTAGAATATAGATGCTGTTATTTTATTCGAAATATAACTCTAAAGCACTATGAAATCTTATGCTGAATACTCAGGCACAGTGTGAATGAACTAGACCTGCAGATTATGTACAGCCTGAATGGGCTGAAACAATTAAAATTTTGACATTTTAAAGTTAAAACGGGATTTACCAGTTAATCACAGCCCAATATTATTGGAACGACTGTTAAATTAACTCATTGACTATACATATCCAACATAAAGTTGAAAGCAATTAGCCCTTTTCCTAAATTAAATGAAAGTTCAAGCAAAAGAGCTAACAAAGGGGAGTGAAATATTTTACATCGTATGAAAAGAATAAGAAATCGTTGCGTTATTGTTAAGTCGGTTTCCAGAGAACTCCAACAGAGCCTCCAGAGGTTCAAAAAGAGCTCCAACCAATCAGAGCACGACAGAACATTCTGGAGTTCCAACGTGGCATGCTACCATTGGTCAGTAGCAATATATGTCGTTTATTGGATTGGCTGAATTAGAATGTTGATTTAACTTAAGCAAACATCTATAAATACTTACGATTTGTCTGTACAAGACTGAACCTTGCAATAAAGCATCTTCTCGCTACTCGTGTCTTCTCTCTGGTCTTCAAGTTGCTGAGTAGTGCTAGCCTAGGGTTGTCCGAATAGCTTAGGATCTGAATAAGCGTTCAACCCACAAGACATATCAGTGGCGACGGGGAAAAAAAATGACAATGAGTATTTCTTTAGAGCAATTTGAAGCTTATATGGAGCGTCAAGAAAAACGGTTTGAACAGTCTCAAATCAGAGTCATGGAAGCGCTTATGCAGAAATTATGTATGTCTCAACAAAACTCTGCTGCTGGTGAATTTCAAGTATCTCATACTGACTCAGTTATTAACGCAATCCATGAATTTAATTTTGATGGTGCAGCAGGTGTCACTTTTAACTCTTGGTTTAAGAAGTATGAAGATTTGTTTCATATTGATCTCTGCAGACTGGATGACGCTTCAAAAGTCAGAATACTTCTAAGAAAGCTTGGGACAACAGAACATGAACGCTATAGTAACTTTATTCCCCCGAAGAACCCACGAGACTTTAGTTTTGATGAAACAATTCAAACCCTGTCTCAAATCTTTGGAGAACAGTCGTCTCTATTTAATATCCGTTACCAGTGCTTGAAGATAACGAAAGAATCAGGAGATGACTGGGTGAAACATGCAGGTATTGTGAACCGAGAATGCGAGGGGTTCAATTTGTCTTCCATGTCTGAAGACCAGTTTAATTGCTTAGTATTTGTCTGTAGCCTGCGTTCACCTGAGGATGCTGACATCCGAACGAGAATCCTAAGCAAACTTGAGCATTGTCCCAACATGACCCTGCAGGAAGTGACTAATGAATGTCAAAGGTTAGTGAATTTGAAGCACGATACCTCGAT